GGAGCCCACAAAAATATTTATGAAGAATCTTGAATTTAATATTAATTTAATTGTTCAAAAGTAAAATAATAATAAGTGAATGGAAAACTGAATAATAAACAAAGAGAGCGAGCGAGAGAGAGAGAGAGAGAGAGAGAGAGAAAATATTAATATTGGATTGAGAAACTGTAAAAGAAATAAAGAGAAATGAGAAAGGAAATGGATGGGAAAATCATAAAAATTTATCGCAATAAAAAATTTGCGCCTGCTCATAGCTGTATCTATAATATATTCAATAATAATATGAGAATAACCTATAATATAGTACATAAATTAATAACATGAGTACAAGCCTAGCTCCGGTAGGGTATTTGCTAGTCGGGCATTTGAAGCTCCTCGCTCGAGCTGTTGTTGTTTGTCTTGTTGTTGCTGTTTTTTTAAGTTTACTTAAATTTGAGTGCAACGGCGACAACAACAGCGACAACTAACACACACAAATACTCAGACACACACACACACAGACACACCTATGTGTTTAGTTGCTGTGGCAACACTTGGCAGATGTCCTCTTGGCGACTGTTTTGCCTTTTGCTGCTGCGGTCCTCAAAGGGCGGCGTCGGCGCATTGCACGGTGCATAATTTAGCAAACATTTGCCACAGAGTTGCACACGCTCACACAGACACACACACAGACAGGCACACACTCACACACACACGCACATAGCTGACTAAGCGACGAGACCTCTGCGTCACTGAGGGCAAATAAATAGGTGCAACACGAAGGACTAAGACCTAATACCACAAAAGAATAAATAAAAATGCCAGACGCGGGCCATGCACGACTAGCCAATGCCCTGTAATATACTCTATATATATAGTTGTGATTTTCAGTTGAGTTTTGTATGACAAGTAGAGATTTTATAGTCTGTGTGAAGAGCTGCTAAGAGGCCATATGCTTGCCATTACCTCAAAAGTACAGGGTATTCTCCAGAGCGGAACGATCGATGAGCACAAATGAATCAGAATCAACAACTGCGAGCGCAGTTGAGAAAGTTCCAGGTTTTTGGATAGATATCGTAGCCTTTTGACAATTTGCGGAGGTTATGAATCCAGCAAGCGAGTGAGAGAGAGAGAGAGAGAGGGGAGGGGGGCAGGCTTGGAGACAGAGAGAGATAGACTATGTCAAGAGAGATTTTTAGATACGAGTTATGTGACATAAGACGACAAGTTGGCAAGCTGTGGAGCGCTTCAAAGAGACAGCCACAAATCAAACAATTTCCGCTGTTTATGCGAGGCATGCACGAAGCCGTACAGCCAGCCAACGGAACAGGATGAGGTGGTGCACACACACACACGCGCATACACCCGTACGCACACACACACAGATATTAGCTACGCACACATGCAGCGAATGGAAGCGTGAAAATGCAATTTGTTGCGTGGAGTCGTCAGTTTATTGAATTTATTTATATGCAGTCGCTTGCTTAGACATTGACTGATTGAACGATTGATTGATTGAGCGATTGAGTCACTGAGTGCAAAAACGAATTTCATTTAAAGCACTCACGCACACACACACACACAGAGAGAGGACTACTGTCCGTCGACATTGCAATGTGTGTGTGTGTGTGTGTGTGTGTGTGTGTGTGTGCCCTCTGCTAGCCAAAAGAGTTGAAATATGCATTAAGTTAGCTTGAAGGACTTGAACCGGCAATCGATACGTTTGTCTAGCCAAGTGAA